TGGACTAATGCTTCTTTCAAAATTGGCAGTCGCTTGTCGATGGTATATACATACACCACAATAGATTTTACTCCTTGTAAGTTGTCGACGTCACGATCTCTCTCAACATGATCAGGTTTACATTGTCAGATTTTGGAGTATCCGAAAATGTGTTATTCTGGAATAAACTGGCGTGAAGTACAAACGACAGCACTCCATAAGTAAGAGATAAGTATTATATGATGCAGGACTGAGACTATGAATAACCCAGTAAAGATCTAGACTTAGAACCATGTGTCCAATATTAAGCTCCTAATAGTTACTATTTGAAGGCTCTTGGCCTCCAGTTATATTTGAGCTAGAGCGAGTTTATAGAGACTAACTTAGAGCTACTACTTGCTCTTTACAGTTTTATGTAGAAAGACGCTTGTCTTTCTTTGATAGCCCTTCCCATTAAAACTTATTTATCAAGAAGTTTTTCATGGCATCGTGCCTCAGAAGACTAGAGCTGCTCTGGCTAGTGCGTATTTGCTCTGAAATCAACTATAAGCTTCCCAATTCTTCGGGTATGTGTCGGGCTAGCTAAAAGGATCCTCAAAATCAAAGTTTCTAGGGTCATTTTTACCGTCTCCAAAACCTGATGTTTGCTTGCAAACTTAACCTTAGAGCTACGAAAGCATGAACCAAACTGAAGCAATGACGTCATATGTGGTAGTATAGCGGAGATGGGAGGTGCATTTGCGTCCGTAATCATTCTAGAATGATAGAGAACGCTTCTAGTCCCCAATTATTCTCCCAGCTCTATTTTGAAGAGCATCACGTATGTCCACAACTGTCTTACCAATCTACAAGAAGAACACTGATGGATCAAGAGTGAAATATCATTCAAGTAAGAGTGCTTTTCAAACAAATACTGCGCACAGTAAAAGTAGTCCTTTGATACAAAAGTTTTCAAGAACGTTCTTATATTTGAATGACACAGTGATTTGAATTTCTTATTAATTTGCGCTTCAAAGCCAGTCACCTATCGCTGTTAATGCATAACGGAAATCTATTAACAAACGAAATCCATCTGATGAATCGTCTATGAGTCGTACACGAAATCGACGATTTCAATAAGTGCTATGACAAAATGATAAACTCTCAAATGGGAAGAAGAAACAAAAAGAACGATGAAACGTAAAAATCAAACTCATCACTAACTGAAACAACCGAAACAAGCCTTTGCAGGCCTCACAATTTGTTTTGATCTTCCAGAATTATCATTGCTTCTACGAATTATTCGCCAGACTTGCTGTAGACGATAACTGCCAGAATAACACAGCACAAGTTACACAACTTAAACTAAACTTATCTGTGAACTTTGCAAGGTAAGTACTACATTTTACGAACAAATGAGCTATTACCAAAAAATCTATTTGCAGCAGAACAGGAGTTCGAATCAAATCAAGCAGTACTCTTGCACTGTTGGTCAGAACAATGTGGAATATTACTTCACCTTCTTTGAATGTGAGCCACTACAATCAAGACGCACCGTCATTTTCATTTTCCAATGTAAGTTTCCTAATATTCACGTTTCTTCAATCAGTCAGCTAGCAGATCTCTACTATTCTAGCAGTGGGAACAGGATGGCACAATGTATTCTCACATCCTAACAAAGAAAGAAAATTAGCATCTAGCCGTTTGTGAAGTTTTCATACCAGGATTCACTGGACGCTGATTTTAGTTCTGATTTTGTTTGTTGGAAATTGCAGTTTTTCTTACAAAAATTACGCGCGCATCCCTTATTCATTGCAGAAAAACTCGTTCCATCTGAACCACTGATCAATGTCGTGGCTAGATTCGCATTCCCGTCAAAGCGCTTTTGTCTTGTTATCCTTCTATAACTCTTTGCTGCTGAATGGAAGATACTGATCGTATGCATTATTTGAAGAACTTCCATATTTTTATCAAAATATTGCTCAATAGTTAAGAGAGGTAGTTGATCAGCGTTTGGCGTACTGTACACTTCTTAAACTTTTTGAATTGTTTTCTTCTCGCCTCTCTTATCGTTACGAAGATTATCTGCTTTGGAAAACGTTAATCACCAATACTTATTAGGAGAAGACGTAAAACGGTGCTGGAGATTTATTCCAAATAGATACAAACGCTTGCCGTTCAAAGTCATTAGAGAGTGGAATGACTTTTAAGCATTGCTACCTCCATCTGGCCCATAATATCAGAATGTGCATTTGAAAATTTAGAAGGAATATTGCAATATTTTCGAAATTTGTTGAGCTTCGGGATAGAAATTGACAATTAGGAGCTCAATCCTCATTGATGTACATCTCATGAAAAGCAATCAAGCTATTGCACTTTCAACAATTATTTTCTTATGATTTCTGAGAAACGTAAAAGGAATAGAAGGCCATTGAAATGCTACTGCATATTTTGATACAACTCTGAAACCACTGATGGTATCATATTCATGAAATTGCTTCCGCCGTGACAGTATAATGTTACAGATAGTCTACAATGGAAGCCTTGTATTTGGCTGTATTATCAAGTCATGCAATAATACAGACGCAATTGCTTGCGTGTACAGTAACATGTGAGTACTTACTATGTGAAGAATATATATTATAGATAGCTTAATGTTAAAGTAATCATCATTTTACACTTTGCATTGTCTCAACTATAGATTGAAAATCGTAGTCTTTTAATCCATTATCAACTTTGGATGACTACTAAATGTGACTTC